TTTTGAAACCGTTATAAAAATCTTTTTTCTGATTTTTTTTTTTTTTTTTTAATGTTCAAAACACCCGTTTTTAACATTTAAAGAACGTTTTTCTTGGTTATGCAAACATTAGAGGAACATTGCATTATATCGTTTTGAAAATGGTATTAGAATGTTACATTGTTATTCCTGAAGAATGTTATTGAACATAGTTCTGAACAAGTTCTGAGAACATACAGATAACATCATAAGGACATTCCAAGTTTCCTCTCAACATTACGAGAACGTAACAAATATGAATTATGTTATAAGAACGTTCTATAAACATTACTTTAAAAATGTTTTGTCTTATAACCCTTACAAAATATTAGTGAAAGTCAGCGTTCCCTGTTAGTTGGGTTGGCTTCATCCAATCACAGTGTGAATATTCAGCTTTTGAAGTGTGTAAACCTTGTTTTTGCCTTCCTAACATCACTAAATAAATTATGATGACTATCAAACAAGCCTGTTTCCTTTTTAAAATTCATTAATGTCAGGGGATGCTGTAGCCTGAATAGCAGCTCAAAAACCTCTCTTTTTCATCATATATGTATTGTGATAAAGATAAACTTTTTGACAGGTGGTCTGATTTAATTAGGTTGTTCTGTCTAGTTATTGGACGCACCTCTAAACCTACTGACCTATATCCATATCCATTACTCATTCAACAAAAAACAGCTGTTTTTCTTCTAGGACTAGCTGTTGTTTGAATAATTCTTTCTTTCTTTCTTTCTTTCTTGGTATCACTTTACAATAATTAACAATGAAAACATCTACTAATACTTTATTAAAATCAAAGGCTGTATCTGTTCATAATATTTAATGAAACTGACATGAACTAACAATGAATCGTTTTTTTATTTACTAACATTAACAAAAGATGAATAAATACTGTAACAATTGCATTGCTCATTGCCAATTAATATTAGTTAATGTAATTTATTTTTCTCACCTGGGGCTTTCATATACTGTTTGAAAAAAACGGTATTTGATATTTCTATTATTTATAAGGATTTATGCAATAAACATAAAAAAAACTACATAAAACATATATTAAGCGCTCCAATGCATATAACTGCAACAAAGAAAACATTGAAATTTATTCTGGAAATGCTCCTTTTCCATAAATTAAAAATGCAAATGTTTAATAATATTTTACTAAAAGGCTTGTTTTTATATATTGTAAAAAAAAAATAAAAATAAAAGTCGCTCAGGTCCTTAATGAAAGCGATTCTCCTGATGCCCGCTCTTTTAGCTTGCACATGCTGTCTGGAGGTCCAGTCACTTTTAATCAAGCTTGATTTTTTTAATCTTTCTGCCAGCCGTACACCTGCCTCATTCTCATTCATGTAGATATATGAACATGTCAATACGATTTCATTCTCTCAGCAGGCAGCAGCGCCAGCATCTGTAGCACAGTTGTTTCTGAGTGTAATTGATAGATGCATGATCCAGACTAAAGATCCATCAGATATAATGATAGTTAAGCATGATGATGATGACTCAGGGTGACTCCTCACTGTAATTCAGCTCATTCTGCACTGACCGTGACAGAGCTGAGGTCTAAATCAAGAGTGAGAAATAATCATCTTTAGGTTTTATATCCCTGGAGATGAAACGCATGTATCGGTATAATGATATTCTTGTGGATTATAGCTACAGAGTTGTATTGATGAGTAATCTGTGCTTATGCATTATGATGAGGTCAGTCTGTGTTTATCTGTGGGTGATACATGCACAATGTGTTCATATATGGGTCAACGACAAATAAGAATGTGCACAATAAAGGAAAAAAATTAATTTGTGCCAAGTCCCTATGTAGAATTTAAAACTTTATGCCTTTTATATGCCAGTCACTTTGATATGTTTTCATGTTTTATGTGCATATATATTTTTAAAACCCATATGTATATACAGTATATATATATACTGTGTACATTTTTATATATATACAGTGGGTACGGAAAGTATTCAGACCCCCTTAAATTTTTCACTCTTTGTTATATTGCAGCCATTTGCTAAAATCATTTAAGTTAATTTTTTTTCCTCATTAATGTACACACAGCACCCCATATTGACAGAAAAACACAGAATTGTTGACATCTTTGCAGATTTATTAAAAAAGAAAAACTGAAAAATGCTCAGTATTTAGTAGAAGCACCCCTTTGATCTAATACAGCCATGAGTCTTTTTGGGAAAGATGCAACAAGTTATTCACACCTGGATTTGGGGATCCTCCGCCATTCCTCCTTGCAGATCCTCTCCAGTTCTATCAGGTTGGATGGTAAACGTTGGTGGACAGCCATTTTTAGGTCTCTCCAGAGATGCTCAATTGGGTTTAAGTCAGGGATCTGGCTGGGCCATTCAAGAACAGTCACAGAGTTGTTGGGAAGCCACTCCTTCGTTATTTTAGCTGTGTGCTTAGGGTCATTGTCTTGTTGGAAGGTAAACCTTAGTTCCAGTCTGAGGTCCTGAGCACTCTGGAGAAGGTTTTCGCCCAGGATATCCCTGTACTTGGCCGCATTCATCTTTCCCTCGATTGCAACCAGTCGTCCTGTCCCTGCAGCTGAAAAACACCCCCACAGCATGATGCTGCCACCACCATGCTTCACTGTTGGGACTGTATTGGACAGGTGCCTGGTTTTCTCCACACATACCGCTTAGAATTAAGGCCAAAAAGTTCTATCTTGGTCTCATCAGACCAGAGAATCTTATTTCTCACCATCTTGGAGTCCTTCAGGTGTTTTTTTAGCAAACTCCATGCGGGCTTTCATGTGTCTTGAACTGAGGAGAGGCTTCCGTCGGGCCACTCTGCCATAAAGCCCCGACTGGTGGAGGGCTGCAGTGATGGTTGACTTTCTACAACTTTCTCCCATCTCCCGACTGCATCTCTGGAGCTCAGCCACAGTGATCTTTGGGTTCTTCTTTACCTCTCTCACCAAGGCTCTTCTCCCCCGATAGCTCAGTTTGGCCGGACAGCCAGCTCTAGGAAGGGTTCTGGTCATCCCAAACGTCTTCCATTTAAGGATTATGGAGGCCACCGTGCTCTTAGGAACCTTAAGTGCAGCAGAAATTTTTTTGTAACCTTGACCAGATCTGTGCCTTGCCACAATTCTGTCTCTGAGCTCTTCAGGCAATTCCTTTGACCTCATGATTCTCATTTGCTCTGACATGCACTGTGAGCTGTAAGGTCTTATATAGACAGGTGTGTGGCTTTCCTAATCAAGTCCAATCAGTATAATCAAACACAGCTGGACTCAAATGAAGGTGTAGAACCATCTCAAGGATGATCAGAACAAATGGACAGCACCTGAGTTAAATATATGAGTGTCACAGCAAAGGGTCTGAATACTTAAGACCATGTGATATTTCAGTTTTTCTTTTTTAATAAATCTGCAAAAATGTCAACAATTCTGTGTTTTTCTGTCAATATGGGGTGCTATGTGTACATTAATGAGGAAAAAAAATTAACTTAAATGATTTTAACAAATGGCTGCAATAATAACAAAGAGTGAAAAATTTAAGGGGGTCTGAATACTTTCCGTACCCACTGTAACCTCTAAATATGGTGGTTTTTTTCTGGCGGTATTTTGTGATTTATGGAGCGATTAAAAGAGAGATCCCCTCAGTAAAAGCCTTTAACTCTAATATGTAAAAAAAAAATTGGACCAGGCTTTATGCAATGTTCAGTTTATTATTCTGGAAATATATGCAAATGAGTGCATATTTAATTAGATAATGCAACGTTTGCATATGTGAACATAATGTTACAGAAAACTTAAAGGCTTCATTTGGCCAAAAAATTTAAATTGTCATCATTTCCTTACATCAAGTTGTTCCAAACCTGTATGAGTGTTTGAGCACAGAAAAATATATTTTGAAGAGTGTAGGTAACCAAACAGTTGATGGTAGCCATTGTATTTTTGCATACTGTGGCTACTGTAAACCATAAACTGTTTGGTTACCAACATTCTTCAAAATATTAAGCGGTATGTGTGGAGAAAACCAGGCACTGCTCATCACCTGTCCAATACAGTCCCAACAGTGAAGCATGGTGGTGGCATCATCATGCTGTGGGGGTGTTTTTCAGCTGCAGGGACAGGACGACTGGTTGCAATTGAGGGAAAGATGAATGCGGCCAAGTACAGGGATATCCTGGATGAAAACCTTCTCCAGAGTGCTCAGGACCTCAGACTGGGGCGAAGGTTTACCTTCCAACAAGACAATGACCCTAAGCACACAGCTAAAATAACGAAGGAGTGGCTTCACAACAACTCTGTGACTGTTCTTGAATGGCCCAGCCAGAGCCCTGACTTAAACCCAATTGAGCATCTCTGGAGAGACCTAAAAATGGCTGTCCACCAACGTTTACCATTCAACCTGACAGAACTGGAGAGGATCTGCAAGGAGGAATGGCAGAGGATCGCCAAATCCAGGTGTGAAAAACTTGTTGCGTCTTTCCCAAAAAGACTCATGGCTGTATTGGATCAAAAGGGTGCTTCTACTAAATACTGAGCAAAGGGTCTGAATACTGTGACCATGTGATATTTCAGTTTTTCTTTTTTGATAAATCTGCAAAAATGTCAACAATTCTGTGTTTTTCTGTCAATATGGGGTGCTGTGTGTACATTAATGAGGAAAAAAAATTAACTTAAATGATTTTAGCAAATGGCTGCAATATAACAAAGAGTGAAAAATTTAAGGGGGTCTGAATACTTTCCGTACCCACTGTATATATAGATAGATATAGAAAATGTTAGTACAAATTTTATTATATACAGTAATATTACACATTAAACTGATCAGGTAACAGTGTTATTTCAAATAAATGCTTTTCTTTTGAACTTATGTTTATCAAAGAATTCTGAAAAATAAAATGTATCATGGTTTCCACAAAAAATATGAAGCAGCACAACTGTTTACAACATTGATAATAATCAGAAATGTTTCTTGAGCAGCAAATCAGCATATTAGCATGATTTCTGAAGAGCATGTGACACTGAAGACTGGAGTAATGATGCTGAAAATTCAGCTTTGATCACAGGAATAAATTACATTTTAACATATATTCACATAGAAAACCACTATTTTAAAATGTAATAACATTTCACAATTTTTTGATCAAATAAATGCAAATGTGTCTTCTTTTAAAAACATTACAAAATCTTTCTGAAGTACTTCATTATTTTTTAGTAAATTGGACTGAACTTTTGTCTCTCACATCCTTGTTTTCATTTATACTGTGTCTGAAACTAGACTATATCTTCCACACTTTGGCATTTGTGTGAATATTGTCATCATCCTCCCACCTAAAGTGCATGTGACAGCATGAAGATTTCCGCCGAACTCTATGAAATATGTAGATGCATCCGCATGCTTTCAGAGTTGAAATCTCCTTTTAAATCTAGTGTCAAGTTTCTGGTATATAAATATTTCAGCCGCTCCCCGATGGGAGGCCCATCTAAATGAGCCCCAGCGGTTCAGTTTGTCGTTCTCCGTGAGTGTCTGTGGCTCCACATCATCTTAATCAGCAGCTCCATCTGCTTTCTCTCCTCAACTTGATAGAACTGGACTCCTCCATCCATAATTTCCTCAGGGCCTGTCAGAAATTCCCTCGATACACATCGCTTCTCTCTCTCATATCCTCACAGGTGTTTTGTGGCTCTGCATCGTAACCGAGTGTCTCTACATCTTACTGCTGGCCACCGGAGGAATCCTCATGTCCATCGAGGTCTGCCATTTTGGAAACGTCATCGATGGACTGAAACTGAATGCCTTCGCTGCCATATTCACAGTCCTGTCAGGTAACGTGTTGCATGTAGGGTGGCATTTCTATAACACCAAAAAACGGATGATATGTTGATTTTCAGGGGCATTTTTACCTTTATAAGGACAATGTTTTAACCATAGTAAAAAGATGTGTCATCTATTTTGTCAGTTCCAATTATATGAAATCCAATTACCAATTAAATGAAGTCGATATTGATAAAAGCCGTCTTTGCGCTGCAGAAGTGGCATTTAGATGAATTTACTCTGTTTAATGCAGCTCAGAGATGCAATGAATGCATTTACACTGCATTTACAATTGGATACATAATGTTAGGAGATTAATGCGTTAAATATAAAATATACTGAATAGAGAGCTATGAAATTATACTTTAAATATGAAACTAAAACCACAAGTAGGTGGCGACAAATCACTGTCTTAACAAGTGGATCACTGATTTACTAATTTAAAAATTATTCAGAAATGAACGGCATGACTTGCTGATGTTGGAACCATGTACTAGCATACTATTACTATTTCTGCCATAAAAAGATGCCAAAGGTAGTAGTATATAATAAAATAGTATAGTAATAGTAGCATATTAGTTTGCAGTTTCAAATTTAGGAACTGTTTTTATGAATGGCTTATTGAATCATTGACTCAATTGATTTGTTCAAACATGGTGGATCATTCAAGAACAGAACACCACTGTGTTGATCGGGGATGCAATGACTGTGGAGCATAGCAATAGATCAAAACAGTCCATATTGACAATATTGTGCCTAAATTGTACATCACTACATAATGACTGGAACATAACATTAGCAAATGTATTTATTTATTACATAGCATTGCATAAAGTATAAAATGGCAATCTTAAAAGGAGGACAAAAGCCTGCGCATGTAGGCAAACATGGCATTTCAAAACCGCACTGTCTGACCTAAAACCAGATGAATGGCCACACTAGTTGTACATGATCAGCATGTGCTTGATGTCGTTGTCTCTGAATATGATGCTGATTTTTGAGTGATCATCTTTTGTCAGGCTCTACCCTTCAAAGGTCAGCACACTCTTTGTGATTCTGTCCTGTTATATTCACATTCAAGTCATATTGTTTTTGTATGACCAATTAAAAAATCAAAAACAGGTCCAGCAAACGTCCCTCTTCTATACTAGCTGTTGCAATGCTTTAAAGGCCACTAACAGCTGTCCTCATGGAGATGCATTACTGGTCGATGTCTATCTACCTGCAGGCTGTCCTCTGCCTAGTTTTTTGTGGCAAATGTCTTTGCATTTATGTGGTATCAGAGCCCTATCTGTTCCTCAGATACATACAAAAACATCCGGCTCAAAATCCCATATAAGCCTCACAGTATTGGTTAGCAGTACTCTTGAATGTCATCCAGGCTATTTTTGACAGTTTCACAATTTAAGGGTTTATGGCGACATATGCGTCGAAATTCAATCTGCTTAAATCCTGCTCTACTTATTTATTTATATATTTCAGTGTAGCATTGACTATGCAAGTCCATTGTATGGAGGAGGAGTTGCACTATACAACCAATATCTTACATTTATGCTATTATTATTATAATATCTGTATACTGTATTATAATATTTTTCATATTATATTGCATTAAAGGAGACATACTACTACTACTACAACAACAATTGCTTCTACTAATAATAATTAATTACAAAAATGAATTAATTATATTAATATAAAGATATTATCATTGTGACTATTATATTATATTATATTATTAAGTCTATAATATGAATAGTCAAACTTAGGTAAGTAATATCTTACCTGTATATATTATTATTATTATTGTAATATATTATTATTATTATGATAATTTTTATCATATTATTACTACTACTAATAATAATGATAATATAGAGTTCAGATATTATCATTGTGACTATTTATATTATATTATATTTTTCATATAACATTATCAAGAGTGTATAATATGATTAATCAAACTGATATCTTACCTTAATCTTACCTATTGTTAATGTTGTTGTTAATATTATATACATTAAATTCAAAGGTTGACAGTAATGAAGTACATTTACTTGAGTATTGTACTTAAGTACACTTTTTGAGAATCTGTACTTTACTTGAGTATTATTTTTCTGGAAACTTGTGACTTTAACTTCACTACATTTGAAAGACCGTACTTGTCACTACATTACATTTCTATCAAGGTCCTCAAAGTAGAAAGTCGTTACTAGCAGCTTTGAAAGTCAATGGGTGATTTTTTTCCTCTCTAAAATGTGATTTTCCAACATTTTTGAACACTAACTAGTTGCAAATGTGATATTTCTTTACAACAATTCAATAATAAGGAGTTAATATTGTGGTATATATTAGACACAATATTGTATAGATTTTGCAAAATTGTGTAAATGGAAATATTACCTATAAATCCACAGAACAACTGTTGTGCACACAGTAGGTGTTTGACTTAGTAGCACTGCACTGACCGTTCTGTGTATGACATCAAAGTCCCGCGAATGTGATGATGTCAAATAAATCTTGCTGTTTTGCTTTTTTGTTAAAGCAGTGTGTTGCTTTTGTAAAGTTATACAGCTACAGTTGTGTTGCTGGGTTTTAAAGCAGGTTTAATTTTTTTCTTATCAGTCGGTATTTACAGCAATTTCACTGTCCACTCGGTTCAAATGTGGATGAATGGCTACACGTAGATGTGTGCACACTGCTAGAGCTGTGTGAGATCACTACCATGCTGCTTTTGTGGGGGTGGGTAGGGGTGTTAAATTAAACCTTTTTTTTCCAACTCGTTTCATTTCTAACATTTAATTTCAGTTTTTAACATTTTAACATAACTCTTTACTCCCAAGTGACGACAGGGTAGTCAGTGTATTCAGTAGGTGTAATTTATTGTAGTGTATATATACAGTAAGTTGCTTCAGAGGCATAAGGTATTGCAAGTATTACATACAACGATAATAAAACTTTTGGTACTTAAGTACTTTTAAATGCAAGTACTTCTGTATTTTTACTTAAGTAAATATCTGTCTTTAGAACTTTCACTTGTAATGGAGTAATATTTGACCAGCAGTATCTGTACTTTCACTCAAGTAATGGAGTTGTGAACTTTGTCCACCTCTGATTAAATTATTATAACGTCATACCTTTAAAAATATATAATAAAATGAAATATATAATAATTCATTTTATCGTATGTCATTACATTACAGACAAGACATAATAATAATAATAATAAAGGTAAGATATTATCAACTTTGACTATTTCATATTATGTACTCTTCATTATATTATATTTATTATATTATATTATGTTATTATGATAATAATGTACAGTTAAGATATTATCATTGTGATTATGTTATAATCTCCTCTTAAGACCCATAAAAAATTTGTAGGAAAGATTTAGTATATTTTCATGTCGTTACATTGTTTAGAGCATTAGAAAAATTGTATTTTATTTTATTTTTAATTATGTTTCATTGAAATGTTATGCTATGGTAGAGGACACCGGGACTCAATTAAATTTTTTTTTTTTTTAAAATAAATAAATAAAAAGATATGAATGAACATGCATAGGAAAAAAACGTTTTTTTTTTTTTTTTTAAATCACCAATACATTTTTAGGTTTCAGGATTTTTTATACCAAACTTTGTATAAAGATGATTCTCAACTGTTATAACAGAATGATTTGATATACCATTTTTCTTTATGCAAAATGT